ATTCGTAGCACTATATTACAACTGGTCAAAGAGACAAGTGAAGCCGATCCTTTGAGCAAACAGTTATGATTTCTCCCCTTTTGTCATGGTCTATTCATATTTCCTATATCCTCCAATCACGGCTTCACTGTCACAATATTTTATTTGCTTAATTAAATGTGGTCGGTGTGCCCTTTTTTTAGCCTTTTCATGAGAACTCTCCGTACTCCACGCTTGCCTTCTCACCGCCCTTCATCCTTGTGCTGTAAATGTTGATCGGAGTCTGCCATATTTTTACGCAGACCTCCTTTCTTAGGTCTTACAGTCTCTCTTGCCCGGTAAGATCCGTCTGCCCTCTCTGGTTCACATATTTCACTCGACCCCTGCCACCCCATCTGTGCCAACTTGAGACGTTATCAGCCCTACCCTGCGTCTGGGTGACTAATTCGAGGCTCAAGCCTCTGAGTAAGTGTCATGGTCAGGCCTTTGCTACATGGACCACGTCCTTTAGAAAAAACTACTGTCAGCCTACTAGCTCCCATCGCCGAAGCGATATACTGTTCCTGTCTCTAATACCAAGTCTATGACTTCTCATACCCTAGCCTCTTGTGTGCCAACTCACAAATGTTGTTGTTTTGCTTTGGGTTGGCACACAAGAGACTAGGGCATAGGAAGTCATAGACTTGGTATCATAGATAGAAAGAGGATATAAATAGTGGAAGCTAGAGCTGGTTGGCTAACAATAGTCGTGTTTCAAGGATCTCTTCTATGATCAAACACGACAATTTTTAGCCAAACAGCTTTAGTCTCCACCGCGTCTTTCCTATTTATATCTGTGATACCATATCAACCACTTCCTACTTCCTAGTCTCTTGTGTGCCAACCCACAAATGTTGTGGTTCTACTTGTTTCGATTAGGCTGACCGAAGACGTCTCCTCTTTGCTTCTGATTGTTTTTTTCTCATCCCCCTGCGATCTCTTTTCCTAAACTTAAGAATATTGCTTTGATCTAGTCTTCTTTTTTTACTGATCTTGCTTTG